TTGGACCATTTCTCGATTTATGCGTGTCATCCTTGCGCAGGGGCCATGCTAATCTTCTCTGTATCGTTCCAATTTTAACGGATGTCCCGAAGGACTATTGGCCGAAATTCAACGAGGCGGCTAAAAGACAAAAAAAAAAAAAAAACTCCGAACTTCCGAAGCGGATTGATGGCATTTGAAAACTGGCGGAACAATTGGCCGCGAAAGGGGTATAGGATTTTTTTGTTTTTGTTCTTTTTGTGGGAAGATCTATTCCTTTTTACGTTCTGTAGCAATATTTTGTAGGGAGTACCCTATATTCTTCTGGCAAATTCTTTGGCCTCTCAGGCTCTCACTACCTACTCCTAAGGCTATATAGAGGGGACCCCTGCAAGCATAGCTGCCTATCACGGTGAAGGGGAAGGGTGCTGGGGGTCCAGCTAATGCACAGGCCGAGTATTTTGCCAGTACCTGCACCTCCCCTTTTTCATCATCCCCCACCCGGGTCACCCCCAATAGAGTGGCAGCAGTGTCTAAGGCCAACGCTCTCCCCCCACACACCACACATAACCATTTTTTTCTTTTCTTTTTAATTCAAAATTATTCATTCCATTCATCTAGGTCCATCATCAGGATTCAGACTAACGTAGCATTACCTGGGGTTGCTTTTTTGGTGGGGGGGGGGGAAGGGGGGAGGTCGAACTTAGGTCTGTATTTCAACAGTTCATGGCTATACCAACTGAGCTAAGCTCGTTGGTTAAACAACCAGAGCAAAAAAGGCGACCCTAAATCTGCCAAGTGCCACTGCAGGTAATGACTGGTGCAGTCTTAGACCCCCAGGTCCCACACTAAACTTGCACATTTCGAACTCGCACCATGGTTCTTTTCTTGCGTATTTCAAACCAAAAGTGTGTCATAGCCACAGTTTCCCCCGAAACGAATGCTTGGTCCACGGAGTAATGGCTATTGGTAGACAGCCACTCAACTGTGGGGACTGCAAAATGAACAGTCAACCAAAGCAAAGCTGCCTTTTTAGCGTCTGGTAGCCACCTGTTAATATCACAAAATTGCAATGCTTGGTCCACTTACCTAGCCGACCTGTTGAAATAAATCCTCTCGGCCAAAACGGCAACTCTTGGTACATGGATGCAGTAAAAGGCCGTTGTTGTTAACTCGTCAAAGCGCAAGGCTTTCCTCAGCATACCCGAGGGGTATGTATCAACTATGGCCGCGGCCGCGGACCGACGCGGATGTGACGCGCAACCTCACGCCCTGCGCTGTCTTCCGTTCGGAGTGCTAAGGGTGCGGAAAGGAGGCCCTGAGAAACAGCAAGATGGGGTGTGCCAAGGATTTTTGGAAAATTGAGTGTGGGGACACAGACGGAACTGAAATCCCCCGTGTTGGCCTGATGAAGTGAGAGACCTGGTTGGCGGCGACGTGGGTTTTGAGGTGACGCGCGCGCGGGGTATGTGACGCGAGGAAGTTTAAATTCAATCCAGAAAATATTGCCGGAACTCCCAACAAGCCACAGCTCGGCGTTTGGAGTGGAAGGGAGCGGGAACGTGTTTAGTATCCCGTTTTCGCACTAGCTCCCGACGTCGCACATTACACAATTCTGAATCCGACGTGGATGGTCTTAATCGCGTGGCCCGTTCCTTGTGCTCATCCTCATTCCGTGTTCGGTAGTGGAACCCCTTCGACTGGTAGTGGTCGAGTCGTTGGCAATCACTACACAAGGTGTTAGGCCAATGGGGCGCTATTGCCAACCACGGGATGGCGATCAACTCGTTAAATGGTAATAGCAGCGAGTACGACAGAAAATGTGTATCGACGATGACAAATCCAGCGCCGACAAACCCAGAACACTGATTTTCGGGAGGGAAGTAGTACTGCCCACCGATCTTAGCGACTTCTCGTATGTCCCACTCACAGGTTCGCGTCCTGTCCTCGTTATACAGGAAGGGGCGGAGAGGGGCTACGGGAGGCTGGCGCCTAGTCGGGTTGAGCCCGGTAGTCCACATGGCAAACAATCGGGAATATTTTAGCCATTCATCGCGTGCATGCAATCCTATCAATCCAATCGGAACGGTTAGACATGAGAAACAGAGGGTTCGGAGAAAGAGAGAGAAAAGTTCATGTGTGGCGAGACGCGGCCGTCATTTCCTGGTCAGATCGTGCGTGGCGAAATCGCATGTGTACTCACAACACTTCTTCGCTAATCACAAATAAAAGCATTCTTGCACTTCCAAATCCCAACAACATTGCCCCTGCCATCGACTCGTCCTAATCAAGATGGGTTTCGTACCCGTTCATTCCCATCTTCCATGCATACATTCACTGTGCAAAGTGCGAAAATGACAGTCATGCAATTTCCTAGCAAGGTGGCGTTAAGGGAAGGATCCTTAATGGTTGATACACGCGCATCCACCGTTTACAAGACAAAACCCACTAGATCGGGGGACTACTCAGGAAACTAATGGAAGAGTTCCGGAATAAATCATTCCAACACAGTCATCATACTCATTCCATCACATGCCAACTTTTGACTTATTACGTAAAGCCATCCACATCAAGGAAATGCGACAGAGACAGACGGGGATATCAAGATCAGAAGGAAGAGCGACACTGAAATTGGGAGAGGAAAATAAGGTTCAGCTTTACCGCCACAGAGTCACACCAACTAATAGATTCGTAACCAAGAGGGCGCACTTCGTCATCAAATTCCAAAACGGCCCCGGGCCAGTCATCCACTCAACTGATATCACTTACCCGCATTCTGACACCGACGATCCCGGTCGTCGCGCGTCATCCTCCAACACTCCGATCGTCACCCCGCCAACTTAGTCTCGATGTGGCTTGTCTGGATCCCACAGTCCGTCGTGGCGATCTAGCGCACCGCCAGCCAGTCTACAGTCGGCTCGTCAGATTTTCCAACTCGCACCGTACACATCACCTAGCCACTACTTCCCAGAAGCTGGCCGATGAGTTGAGAGAGAGTTTTGCGGGGGCGCCGACGGAATTTATAGTTGTGAGACGAGAGAGAGACGCGGGCAAAAGCGAAGGGTGAGGCAGAGGAGGGTATAGGAGAGTTTGGGAGTGACCGCCCATCGAAAGCCATGTTGATCCCTCCTAACTCGACCTCAGCCAATCAGAATCGTCGTGCAGTAAGAATTTTCACGACGCTTCTCCTTGGCTAAATGGAGAGAGAGGATCGAAAAGGTTTTCGAGCTGGAAGAAGAGGGGCGCGAAGGATAGCACGAAACGGGTCCAAGATTCAGATGATCAAGAAGGAGAAAGAGAAAAGGAGCGCACTGAGAAGGGGAGGGAAAAGCAGTTACAGGGGGCGGGGGCGAAAAAGCGTGTGCTCGCGAAGAGGGACGGTGAGAGGGGCGCAAGGGAGGAAGGAGGGGGGAGCTTGCTTGCATGGCGTCGATCATCAAAAGGGAAATTGGCACCGAGATAGTTGGAATCTATGCTAATTCAAAAATTGAAAGTACCATATCCGCGCGCAAAACAGGCGCGGGAAGGAAAGTCTTTCGTCCATCCATATTCCTACAAGAATTCCCAAAGTTTTCGAGGTCGAGGCCGAGAACATTTGCGCGCGGAAGGTCACGCGACATTCCGATAATTCCAAGATTTCTAACTATCGAGCCAAATTCCAAGCACACTCGCTAAGGCGCGCAAAATTCCCATGCATTTTCAATCAAAACGACAAAAAAAAAAAAAAAGGAACTGACAGATTCCCGCAAGGTACCTTTAATCGGGCACAGACAGGGAGGGGAGGGGAATCTCAGGGTTGAACTGTACACATCTGGATGGAGAGAAAACACAAGGAAAATAAAGGGGTCTGAAAGATGGCGCAGGTCCGGAAGCTAGTACGTCACACGGACGGGCATTGGCCGCGGGCACGTGGGTCTTGCAAGCCAGCGTGAGGGGTCAAAGTATAATTCGTAGTGTGGCGAGCTTACCTTGAATGGGCAAATGGTCGTCATTGGCCTCTTTGAGCAAGTTTGAGGCAGAACCAAAACAGGGATGATATCATCCATATTTTTTGTCACAAAATCACCATTCTTGCGTGTCAGATGATCTCCTAGTTCATCATACCCAGATTGGCAGAACCAAGTTGAGGCCACCACTTGCTGGTTGAACTCTGTTGATTGTTTAATCCTGAAAAGATAATGGGTCATCACCCTTTTCTAGTGACTTGACCAGACAGTGGTTATAGGCATCAGGGCTAGGCAGGTCCTCACCTTCCTCTCCAGCCCTGATTGAAGCATAGTCGGACGAGCCCTGTCG